ACTGATTGGATGAGGCCCACCTCAAAGGGAAATCTGCTTTACTCAAAGTCCAGTGATTTAAATGTAAATCTCGTCCAAAAAATGCCTTCCAAAAACATCCAGAATAATATTTAAGTAACTATCTGGGCATGATAGCCCAGCCAAATTGCCACATAAAGTCAATTGCAGTGGTCATGCACTACCCATGGGCTGGGGGCTGGGCCATCTCATGCATGACCCATGCCATTCATTCACATACCTTCCTGAATCTGGGAGGTATTTGAGTTTGTGATGCTTACTCTAGCATCCCTCTTCATGATTATGTGCAAGATTTCTTCATCAGATACTTTGTGATAAAGTTTGTCTTGTTGGACCCAAACAACTTTCTGGGCGAAAATACCTACTCTCCCTTTACTGGTCTCAAGTGATCCCTCCATTATCATGAATTGGATAGAGGATGAATACAAGGCACGTTGGGGTCTTTGACTTGCATGGATGTACTGTAACTCACATGCGAGGCACGTTGAGATTGTAACGGCATGGCCCTAGCAATGGAGAGAGAGCTGGACAGAGCAGGTGGGCGCTGGGGAAAGCCAATTGGCAGGAGCAATTGCCCCAGGGTGCCCAAAGGATGTGGCAAGTTCTCGTGTGTTTGTGCAAGTGTGTATTTGGACAGGGCAATCCAATTTGAAAGTGAGGTCCCCCTCTCACACTAGAAAGTTCCAGAAGGTTGGCAGCACTCTGGGACTCTGGGCAGCAGGGCCCAAGCAGGGAGGAGACAGCATAAGCTACATCGGGGTTGAGTTTTCAGAAAGCTTAGGTCCAGGGAAGACAGGACCTGGGCCTGGGGAATGGCCAGAGTAAAGTACAGGGGCTAGAGTCAAGGCTTCTTTGGTTTAGAGGCCACGTGGTGAGCCCAGGTTCATCTCAGCACAATCTAATCGACAACAGGCAGCGAGATTCATCTCAGACCTCGTCTGTCGTTGCTTCTGAGGCTGCTGTCCTGATCTAGGCAAACAAGAGAATGGAGAGTTGAAACTGACAGATGTGAACATCATTGTTGACCGTGACATGCAGGCAACAGGGCCAGCAGCCTTTATGTGTGTCAGAGAATTGGGTTGACGATGCTGGTGTCCCTGCTCCCTCACTGTTCAACTCACTCACGTCCTTGGATGAGACCCGAGAATGAAAGGGGGTACGCTGATGAGGCAGTGGTGGGCTTCTCCATGAGATGGCGCTCGTAGCTTGTCTATGTGTGTGCCTGTCATTTTATTTTATTTTATTTTTTGCTTTGATAACCAATTCATCATGTAAATGATACTCTTTCAGAATTCATAGAAATATAGCTTGTCTTTCCTAATCTTAAAAGCAGATTTACGTACTTTTGTGATTCCTAGGAGATCATATTCCTGAGAGTTAACTTCTTTCTCCTTCTGGGATGTGGTTAGTGTCAGAGGGAGGTGGCGAGCATGTTATAATCTCCCTAGCTCCTAACTCCTGTACCCGACCCCTCCCCAAAGAATTTGCAATATGGCTAGAATTGAAGATCCATCTACAACTCTGACTCAAGGTGGACTTTGAGATGTGCTATGCTAGAGATAAAAACAAGATGGTATCACTGGAAGAGGGAGGAAGAGATTAATTCTGCCTAGAAGCTTCTTGAAGGAAGATTAGGATATCAGTGGGGCCTGAAGGAATGATCATATTTATGAGGGAAAATACTTTTTCTGAAGATTGTGAAGTAGAAGCATCAACAAACAACCCAGGTCTCCTAGTGATAATGTTACTCAGGGTAGACCTTTTCTTAAGAATTATTTGAGATGGAGACCTCACATGTGAGTCTGAACTTATATGGAAGAAGGTGGGAGGGAGGGATTGAACATTACAAAATCCAGGAAGTGCCCCCAACTTCTGGAGAGGAAAGGAGTCAGGTAAATACTAACCCAGGGCTTTGGCAATTAGGAGGAAATGATCTCTTTTGAAGTTATTTCAGGCAAGAGGTGAAGTAAAAATGCACAGCTTGGGAATCAATAAGTAATTAACTGCACATTTGTATCATACTTTAGAGTTTAGAAAGCAGGATTGCAATGTAAGAATTTTTGATATTTCTGTTTAACAGATGAGGAAGCAGAGACTTGGCGAAGTTAAGTCAATTAGTTAAGATACCATAAATAGTAAGTGGCCAAATCCTATTGAGAGAATGGGTTCTGGAACATTTCTTGATCTATTTTTAACAATTTGTGAACCTAATCTTTCTTTAAAAAAATACTTATTGAGCATCTACGTGCAGATACGAGATATCTGATGGTTTTGGATATAGTTCCTTCTCTCTGGGAGCTCACGGTGTAGCGAATGGCTCTCAAGTGGGCTGATTTTGCCCCGCCTCCCCCAACAGAGTCCGTTTGGCAATATCTGGAGACAGTTTTGGTTGTCATGACTGGGGGAGATGGGCACCCCTGGCATCTAGTGGGTGGAGGCCAAGGATGCTGTCACACATCTTACAATGTATGCGACAGGCTTTCCCCCCCACCCCCGCACCAAAATGCTATTTGGCCTAAACTTGTCAATAATGCTGAGGTTAAGAAATCCCGGTCTAATGCATCATTCATTCATTTATTCATTCATTCATTTTATTACTTATTCTATTAACTTTTTGAGTATGTGCAATAGACCAGACACCCCTCTACGCTTATAGGATATGGTGGGGAACAAGAGAGAAAAAGCCACCTGTCTTCATGTCACATTCTGGGTGCAGAGTGAAGGGCGAAGATGAGAGAAAGTCAGACAGTACCAAGTCAAGGAGAAAATCAGGCGGTGATGAGTGCAAGGTAGAAAGTTCAGATGTGTTGGTGTAACTATGTGTGTAACTTGGGGGTTGCTTTAGAATGGCTGGTCACAGAAAACCTTTTAAAGAGATCAGAGTAATGACTACCTTTGAATGACAGGAAGCCATCTGAGGAAAAGGCATATTGGGCCAAAGGAACAGCAAGTCCAAAGGCCCACAGATGGAAATAAAGTGGGAATGTAATTTCAAGAAACAGAAGGAAGTCCTGATTGTTTGGAGAGGGTGAGAGTAATGGAGATGATTCCAGAAAAGGTGACAGGTGCTACATCCTATTGCGGCTTTGTCAGCCAAGGTAAGGAATTTGCGTTTTCTTCTGCAGCCTTATCCGTGGTTGTTCTCATGGTGAAAAATGATACGGGTTGTGAAGAAAAGGAAAGAGAGCCTTGGGGATAAAGAGGGTGAGGGGTATGACATTGAATCTGATGGCCAGAGAAGGCCTCTCTGAGACCTAGATGTTGAGAAGAAGACAGTGTGAGAAGGCTTGGGAACCAGTAAGATCCCGGGGGTTATGGGTCAAATTGTGGCCCCCTCCATTCTGTGTTGAAGCCCTAACCCCTGACAACTCAGAATATGACCGTATTCAGAGATAAGACCTCCAAAGAGGTGATTAAGTTAAAATCAGGCTAATAGACTGAGCCCTCGTTTAATCTGACTGGTGTCCTTATAAGGAGAAGAAATAGGGACAAATAGACACGAGGGCTACATGTACACAGAGGAAAGACCTGTGACGATAAGGAGAGAAGGTGGCCATCTGCAAACCAAGGGCAGAGGCCACAGAAAGAACCAATCCTGCTGACACCTTGATCTTAGATGGCCAGCCTCCCAAACTGTGAGAAATAAATTACACTGTTTGAGCCACACTACCTGTGGTATTTTGTTATGGCAGCTCCACAGACTAACCCATCTAGGGCTTGGTTTTCTCATCCGTTGAGTAAATAATGGCTGTCGTAGATCTTTAAGTTAAGGTTCTTTCCATTTCTAAAAGCCTTTGATTCTAAGAAATACACAAGCTCTTCTTCAAGACTGCCTGATGCTTAGTCCCTTACTCCAAAAATGACAGAACAACTGCGGAAGAAAGACAGGCGCCCTAGGGAGGAATTTGGGATTAGATATGGATTTCTGGTCAATTTCAAAGAGCGCCTGGGCTGGGAGAATCACCCAGTCATTCTTCTCCCACAAAAAGGGAATTTGAAATCCCAGATGGGGATCCACGTGATCACAATGGCATGTATGTCACCCTTGGGGACAGGCAGAATTCTGTGCTAGAGTTTCCAGGAAGAAGATGGAACTTCAGGAATCTTCCTCTCGGAATGAATCCCCTAGAGACCAGGGTCCCCATGGAGGACTTTCAGCCCCATCAATGCTGGCCACACGTACCATTCCAGGCATCGCAGGATCCCTACCTTCTGTGCGAAGGAGCCTTTTTGGCTCATCTTGTCCTTTTTGGCTCTCGTAGTGCCTCTGAGAGTGAAGGCTGGAGTGTGTGACTGGCTCCAGAACTCAGGAACAAGGTGGATGAAGCTTCCGCATAGTTCACGGGTGCCCTTGCTTGCCGAAAAAACTCTGACCTAGCAAGCAGTGCCTCTGTCCTCTAAACAAGAGCCCTTGAAGAATGGCGGATACTATTGAGCAATTACTTTTGTTTTTAACTTTTTCCTTACAAATTGAGATACATCAGGATATATTGAAGAGGCAGACTATGTCTTGCTGCCCAGCCTTAGTTAATTCTCTATCCAAATGTCATAATTCAACAAATATTTACTGAGCAGATCCCATTGCTCAGTTTTTGGGGGGAATCGAGGTGGGGAGGAGATAGACACTAAACCAGTATGTGATGTGATGTGTGTGCGTGTGTGTGTGTGTGGTATTTGGATAAAGTGGCTGGCAGGGAATAGTCGCCCATTAAATGGGAAATGAATGAATGAAGGAAGGAACAAACGAATGGATTGAATAATTCATTCTTTATTTTTCTTTATTTTTTTATGGAACGCTTTACGAATTTGCGTGTCATCCTTGCACAGGGGCCATGCTAATTTCTGTATCATTCCAATTTTAATATATTTGCCATTTGAATAAAGTGGCTGGCAGGGAATAGTTGCCCATTAAATGGGAAATGAATGAATGAAGGAAGGAACAAACGAATGGATTGAATAATTCATTCTTTATTTTTATTTATTTTTTTATGGAACGCTTTACGAATTTGCGTGTCATCCTTGCACAGGGGCCATGCTAATTTCTGTATCATTCCAATTTTAATATATTTGCCGCCGAAGCGAGCACGAATAATTCATGCTTTAGGATCCATTTCTGTCTCTGTCTCTGTGTTTCCAGTGTAAACCCTGCTAGAATGTAACTTCCTCAGTCCCCTAGAACGTGAGCTTTGTCACAGCAGGGTTTTTATAGCAGTGTGCAATCCTGCATCCCCAACACCCAGAACAGTACCTAGCACATAGTACGTACCCAACTAATATTTTTTGAATGAACAAATGAATGACTTTAGGGAATAAACGAATCTCTCTGGGCCTCATTCATTTATTCAGCACATGTGTGTGTATTATTAGGTCTATGTTAGGTTCTGAGGATGCAAAGATGACCAAGATGAAGTCCCTGCCTTCTTGGGGTGGTTTACAAGGGAAACAGGTGAGCACACAGGTCAGTATATCTTGATGATTCCTATGATGGAGGAGAGCAAAGGGCCACTGGGAGCACAGAGGAGCCAGAGCCGCAGCTTAGAAGGAAGTGAGCTGTGTAAGAAGCGGGTGAGGAAATCGTACCAGGGAAGGCACAGTGCCTGGAGGTGCGAGAAGTCTGGGCTGCAGTGTGTTCATATGGCTGGACCGTGGGCACTTTTATGGGGAGAGTGACAGGAGATGGATTAAAGAGGTAAGCAGGGCAAAATCACAGAGGGTGTTCGTGCTCAGAGGTGTAGACTGTAACTTGGACATAGCGAGGAGTCATTTAGGTGGGGAAGGGTCAAAATGAGATCTATTTTAGAAAGATCCCTTTGATGGCAGAGTGAAGAATGACTTGTCCTTGGAACAAGAAGCAAGGAGCCCCCTGAGGATGTTACTGTAGTAATCCGGGTAAGAGGCAATCATCCTGGGCAAGCAGAAGACACAGAGAGGTGTTTCAAGGGCAGAAAAGACTAACTGATTAGGAAACTAATCGATTGTGGAGGCTAAGAGAAGATGGTCTGGGGCCTCTCTAAGGATTCTGCATCCGGGTGAGTAGGGTGCCAGTAACGAAGAGAGGGAGGAGGTGGGTTAGACCACCACCCTGTTGCAAATAGCCACCTGGAGCTTACGAGGGACATCAGTGTCGCTAATGCTGACTTGGACCTGTTAGTAAAATGAGCTGGTCAGAGCTTAAGAAAGATGAGTAGAGGCCTGAAGATAGAACCTTGGGGAAAAGAGCAACATTTAAATGAGAGGAGCACTGGACATTGAGAAGGGGTCAAAGTGCAGGAGGGAAGAGAGAAAGTGATACCTCCCGACATCAGATCGTGTCACCTCACTACTCTGTAGGCTCCTTGTGTGTTACAGATAAACTCTCGTCATTAACACACATATCTGGGATGCACTGGAAGCTGTCAGCCTACAAGGCATCCCTTCCTGCTTCTTCCTTCCTAGCCAAACATTGATTTGCTTAACTATTTGTCCCCTTCTCAGGGACTCAGGATGGCTGGCCTCATCTTTAGCTCTAGGGATAGATCCTAATTGGTTTGGCCCAACCTGCATATGACAGTCCCTGGTGAATGTCACTGACCCATGGGCCTAACATAATTTTAAATGGACCAATTGGGCCCCAAACAAGAACTTTCATTCCATGCTGAGAGGAACAAGGAAGACAATAGCCCCAGTTCCACTGGCGGCCTCAGGATAGAGCCAACGCTGCGGATGGCGAAGCAGAGAGGCAGAGGGAATTGAGGATCCTGCTGATGGTGATCGTTTGTATTGCTATGGTTATTACTACTTAACAGTTCTTTATTGCCACCCCACCCTGGCCATACTGACTTTGGCATCGACCTAGTGACATGATTTCACTCATGGCTGTGACTAGATATGCCATTTGCCTTTCTGAGCAGAAGCTTTAAGTGTGATTGTGTGGTGGCTGGAACTCTCTGGCTTCTGCTCTCCACCTTGGGGACAGCATGGCCTACGCGGTGGCTACTCCTGCAGCCTGAGCTTTAGAATCAGACATGAGTGCTAGGTAGAGCCGAGAATTGCTGAGCTGGGTCAAGCCCAGCTGAGTCTAGCAGAGACCAGTTGAGCCCAATTGACAATATTGTGAGCAAGAAATACATATGTGCTCGTTATCGTAAGCCACTGAAAATTTAAAGTTGTTTTATCATGCAGCATAACTTAATGAGAGCTGATGAGAATAAGAAGCTGGATGAACAGCTGAATCCATCAACTTGGGGTGTGTGTACCGCCAGATAAGCAAGTAAAATTTCCTTATCACTTAAACCGTTGTGAGTTAGAATTTTCTGTTACTTGCAGCCAAAATCATCTGTTCCACATATCAAGCTCTTCATGACTAACTTTTCCCAGTCTTATCTCCCTCTGCATTTCGTACTTTGTTGGCATGGTTCTTTTTCTCTGGCGACCGTCTGCTTCACCTGACCAACTTTTACTCAGCCTTTACAATCCAGATCGATGCTCTCTTCTATGTGAAATCTTTGGCTCTTTGGGAAAAGTTAGTTATTCCCATAGCACTTCAATATTTCTCTTACTGTGACCTTTACCATATTGCACTGTACCTGGGAACAAATCTGTCTAGCTCACTAGACCACCATCACGGTCTGTGTCTTGTGCATTTTTATACTCTTGTGTCAGTACGTACCTGGTATGGAGTAGGTTCGCAGGAAAATTTTGCTAAATAGGTGAGTAATACCTTAAATGTACTCCTGTGAGATATTACTGGGAGAAGATCAGGTGTTTGTTTTATGTAATGAGACCTGACTTGTTTTATGTATAGTGATCTGAGTTGCAGGTCACTAATGGAGTTAGACTACACTGGATATACAGAAGCACCAGTCTTCCAGATTTGAATGGAAAAAGGGGAGAATACTGAGAATCCCAGACTATCCAATTATCCGACCAAAGCATTCCAGTGGGTCAGCAGGCTCTGGGATTTGGCAGCAATTGTGTGCATTTGGAGCCTTAGAGAATTTACTAACCCCCTGAGAACCAACCATTTTTGCAAAGACTATGAGACTTTGAGGTCATCTTGTCTGATTCATTTGACCACAAATGGCCTGAAGAAGCTTACGTCATTGCACACCGTTTAAGTCTGATTCTTGTCATCTCGCCGTGTAGTTTAAACTAATATTTATCACCCCCTACCATGTTGTAGATGCTGTGCCGGGCATTTCAAATAAAAATCTCTCATCTTACCAGGTATCCATTTTAAAAATAAGGAAACTGAGGCTAAAAGAGGTCAAACAAACTCAAGGTCACATGACTCACAGAGCACATCTGGGATGTGGCCTCAGATTTTCTGACTCCAAGTCCAATTTTTGTTTGTTTTCTGGCCTACAAAATAGAGATAACATCTGCCTCAATCGCCAACCAGGGTTGCAGTATGGATTATATGAGATTGTTTAAATAAAAGTTTTTTTTTTTTTTTAATTTAGATAGCATTAAAATCAGTGATGCTTAGCTGTAGCTTGTTTGTTAATGCCTTTATCTGAAGTACTGAGAAACGTGGAGCTTTCTGGCATACCAGGACACTGGTGGGGAGGATGGAGCTGCCCAACCCCCTCTCGCATTCCATTGTGGAGGTAGGTGTCTAACCCGCCACCTTACAGGCCAAGTGCTACCCAGTGTCCTCATTGCTAAAAACCTAATAGAAATAATGGCTAACACTTGGAAAATGTCTATGAATCTGCTGTTTGGCCCATATTATTTTTAATTCTGCAATACGATAGTTTTTAGGGAAGACGGTGAAGTTCAGAGACATGAAGTAACTTGCCCACAGGCGATGAGGGACGGAGTCACCTCTTGAACCCAAGTGTGTATGATTCTAAAGGGCAAGATCACCTGACCTGGTCATTATTTTTTATTTTAATAATTTATGGATGTGGTTCAGGGTAATTCCTTTCCCCTGTTCTTTCAAAATATCAGTGTCCTTCCGTAGGTAAAAACTCCCTCGTTTGCCAGTCATTTTATATACATTTTAAAATAGTTTCAGCTGGTATGGATCAGAAGTTAAATTTAATTTTGTGTGTGTTGGCTGTTGGCATTTATTTATTTATTTATTTTGTAATATTCCATTTTAATTTGACATCGTTGTATAAATTGCTTTTAATGTGGTTTTTTAACAATGTCAAAACAATAGCAAATTTATTCTTTAATGGAAAGCATAAATATAAAAAAGAAATAAAAACACTTGTGCTTATTTAGCATTTCATTTCAATTTGACACAATTGCAGATATTTTAAATGTGAATTTTTCTAAACTTACAATTATTTATTTTTTAAAGTTTATTGGGGTAACATTGGTTAATACAATTAAATAATTTTCAGGTGTACATTATAATTTGACATCTATATATTCTGTTGTACGATTACCACCCGGAGTCCAGTTTCCTTCAGCTACCATATTTTTTGATCCTGTTGGCACTTATTATTTGAACGTGAGTTGAGCAAAAACATTTAATGATTTGGGAATTCAACTGATGACAGGTCGTTGCTTCTCCCCTTCCTCTGCCCTGATCAAACAAAGCTCAGTAAGTTAGACATTTAAACGTGACAAAGGCAGATGGATGGCCCTTGGGTGGAGGAGCTGAGGCCATAAGCGGGGGGGCGTGGCAAGCTGTGGCTGCTGTGGCCCACAGGACAGATAAGACCTGCTGTCTGTTCTGTGTGACCCTCAAGAGCCAAAAGGTTTTTAAATTTTTTTAATGGCTGAAAAAAAATTATGGAAGTTTGGTGTTTTGGGTTATGAACACACCCCCATAATATCTTGATTTTGCTCCTGAGGCCCATTAAACCTAAAATACTATCAGTTCTCTTATAGTGAAAGTTTGCTGACTTCTGACATAGGCTTTTACCTCTCTGAAGAAGGAAAGGAGCAGCATCTCCTTTATTTCTGGATCATTTTCTGTTCTTTTTCATTCAATTCAATACAACAGACATTCCCGAGCAGGGCTTTGTGTAGACACTGTGGGGAAATGAAGGTGGAACAGGCCAGTCTCTCAGTGGGCCCTTGGACTCCGTGGCATTGCTTTTTTCAGGGGAAGAGGGTTTGTTCTGGAAGAAAAAGAAAATATTTCAGGGA